ATGAGTTCAGGAGGACGGTCTCTACAGTATTCCTTGCCTATGACATTTCTGGCTTCAAACCTTACGAGGCTCTTGAGTTTGATGATGAGGACTATGTGAGTGGCGGCAGTGAGAGTCACTAGGAATGTGGTGCCTTTGAATTTTTTTGTTGACAAAACATGTTTATCTTTTTTGTAAAAGGTTCATGACTTGAATGGAATAGACTATGTCTATCTTTTTTGTAAAAAGTTCGTGACTTTAAATGAAATACAACTTTTGGAGAAAATGTTGAGAAGTTTTATTTCATAATCCCAAGTGGATATTTAAAGAACAAAATCGACTAACATAAAAAATTAACTAAGATAAACAAGGTAAACAGTCTAAACAGTAGACACCAACTCATGATTCACAACCCCCAGCTACTAATAGTATTTCTTTATATGCTCTACATTCCATGGATGGGCCAGGATTTTTTCCTCAAAATTCTGAAGTTTGTAGGTACTTGATCTCACCACCTCTGTGACCGTATAGGGTCCTTCCCAGTTGGATCTCAGTTTTCCTTCCCGAGAGTCCTTGGTAGATAAGATGACCTTTTTTAGGATTAGATCTCCAGGTAAGAAGGCACGAGACTTCACCCTCGAGTTGTAGTACTTGGTCATGTGACGTCTGTACTCTGCATTCCTGAGCATGACTATTTTCCTCTCCTCCTCCACTAAGTCGAGGTTGATGCGGAGACCTTCTTCGTTATTGGTAGGGTCATGGTGCTGGACCCTAAGGGACTGTACCTCGATTTCAACGGGTATTACCGCCTCTGTCCCATAGGATAGGGAGAATGGGGTATCGCCTGTAAGACCTCTTGGTGTCGTCCGATAGGCCCATAGTACTCCTGGAAGTTCATCTACCCATCTTCCTTTTGTAGATTCTAGTATGACTTTCAAGTTTCAGAGTATGGTCCTGACAGTGACCTCTGCTTGCCCATTTGCCTGTGGATGGGCAGGGCTGGAGTGGGACTGCTTGATTTGGAGGTCTGCACAGAAACTATTGAGGAGTTTGTTATCAAACTGCTTGGCGTTGTCGTTTACAATGACGTGTGGTATTCCAAAGCGACAGACTGGACTCTTCCATATGAAATCCTTTATCTTTTGGTCTGTGATTCTGGCTAGAGCTTTGGCTTCTGCCCATTTAGTTAAGTAGTCTATGGCTATGACTACGAATTTGCATTGGCTTCGGCTTACTAGGAGGGGATCTAGGATGTCGATCCCCCACATGGAGAAAGGCCATGGGCTCTGAATGGTGGTGAGCTCCTCGGGTGGTTGTTTGGACACAGTCGCGACGTGTTGGTATTTGTCACACTTCCTAACAAAATCTCTAGAATCTCTTATCATAGTGGGTCAATAGTATCCCTGTATGACTGCTTTATGGGCCAATGCACACCCTCCTGGATGATTTTCACATACTCCCTCATGGCATAGTTAGCTTCTTCGGGGGTGAGGCAACAAAACAGTAGGAAAGAATGACTTTTCTTATAGAGGGTATTTTGTAGGATAACATACCTAGATGATCTCATCCTCAATTTTCAAGCTTCCATTGGATTGTCTAGAAGACTTACCTCTTCCAAGTAGGCTCGGATGGGAGTCATTCAGTTGGGTTTCGATGAGGTTCAGTTGACATCGCCCTCCTCTATCTTAGGGTGTCCTTGGTACTGTCGAAGATCTCGATGGTGGGCATCTTGAACTTCGAGGGTAAAGGGTAGTTAACGATATCAGCAATGAAAGGGGTATCAGTGCGCCTTACCAAGTAGTCCACGATTTCAGGCGTCTATGCTTTGATGGCGTTGAGGGCATCGCCGAGTTGGTTTTGTACCTCTCTAATCTTCTCGTCCCACTGGTTAGGAAAATCCTCCATTGGGTGGTGGTATTGACTTTCATGGTCTCCGCATTGACTTTCTCTATCTTCGTTCTCCTGCACAAATTCATGAGGATGGGGCGCTCGTAGACTCCTTGCGCCCTAAGGAATGACTAGGCGAAGGGCACTCTAGCGTGGTCCTAGAGTGTTCTGGCGAGGGGCCCCATGGTGTGGGGCTGCGTGGCGCCCAGAAAAGATAGACAAATTGCTCCTCTCCTAGTGGGGGGAGTGGGACTCCTCTTGCGAGAGGGGCGACGCCTCCTTGGGAGAGCATGAGTTGGATGATTTGTTGGTTCTGGCTCACCAACAGCTGCATGGTCTGGAGGAGTTGTTGCTGCTGTCCAGCGGCGGGAGTAGTAGTAATAGATGGTTTTACAGGTGCAAGGGGAGGCGGAGTCTCCTCCTGGTGGGTTGGGTTATTGTCTTCCGGTTGTTGGCTTATTGATCTGGTAGTGATTGTCATGGATCAAAAGAGTAGGAAAACTAGTTGGTTCCCACAAATGGCGTCAAACTGATGATGCACAAATTGATCTTGTGCAAGATCAACAGTCAACTGTATGAACGGGGTGGAATTAATGAGCAATAAATAAAACAATCAATAATAAAGCTGTAAATAAGGAGCCAACACAGAGAATTATAGTGGTTCGGTCTGAGTGACCTACTCCACTCTCGGGAATGGTAGCGGTGGCCTGGATCTTTTATTAATAGGTGAAGTCGCCGAAGAGAGTATTCTCCTGGAGTATTACAGTGCTTTGGAGAGAGAGAGATAGAACAGTATGTGTAGGAAGGTGTAGTGTATGTAGGGATCTCAAGACTATGAAGGCCTGTCCTATACATGTAGAGGACTTACATTATATAGGCACACCAAGGCGGTGTCGTGAGGAAGTGGCCTTCCACTAACTTGGTAAGTATAACCTTAGTAGGAATTGATCTCCGTATCCCGATATTTTTCTTGCTCGTGTCCCTATTCCATCGGAGAATGATTTTGAGCTGGGCTGATCCTGATCTTGAGCTTAGACTTGGAGTGGTGTGAATTTAGACTTGCATTGGAGTGGAGAAGAGGGACAGGGAGGCAAGCCATGAGTGTTGGCCTTTGGCTTAGAGTTCACTTGACTCCTTCTTAACTTGTGAGCAAGTCCAATTCCTTTTAGGCTCTGGTAATTGGGACTCCTTTTGATGAGTTGACCCAGCTTTGATTTGGGCTTTCCTTTGAACTTTCTCGATTTATTTTTATTGGGTTTGACCCAATAAAATTCGGACTCATCAAACCCATTTTTGAATTTACAATAAAATTTAGAAATTATGTAATGAAATTGAGTAAATATTCAAATGTGCTTTGCCAGTTCAATGGAGTTATTTAGGTTTAATCATATTCTAGATAAGAGAATCAAATATGAATTATGAAAATAAAATATATTGGGTATCGAAACAATTTTGCATTAAAATCAAAACCTTATCCGTTGCCGGCCTAGTTAAGACTTTGATGACAACAAAGGCCACTGGACAACGACATAGGAAGATCCCAAGGCCACCTGTTTGTGGAGGCATTGCTGGCCATTTTCAATACATTAAAGAGTATAATGCATATAATGATTGAGACATAGACCCGGTCATTGTTGTTAAGGAATGAGCAGAAGCGTTGTCGTTGAACCTAAAGTATCTTGGTAGACGCATGGATCAGATCACAATGGCCCATACTAGGCCTTCCAGTTTGCAAAAGTAGGATACAAGAGATTTAGGCCCACTATTTTGATTGTTAAAATATATCATGGGCTCATTAAAACGACATGCAATGAGAAAGAATTGATTTTCTTAAAGGCACTTGTTTCTTAAATGAGTTGATCTAAAGTAAAACAATTAAGGCCTCTTTGGTATGTGTGTTTGGGAGGGTTTTAGAACATGGTTTGGGGAATAAACCTTGTCAAACCCATGTTTGACAAATATACATGCAGTCCAAGTTTTGAAACCCGGCCCAGTTTAGACCCGGTCATGAAACCCAAGGGGTGGGGGTGAGTTTCATATGTGGGTTAATGAGTTTAACATGCAAATGACATTTATACCCTCATATATACAAATTGGTTAAGGGGCACAATAGCTATTTAAATACAAATATATTATCATAATAATTATGTATTCTCACGAATACCAAACATGAGTATGGACAACATTAAATGTTGAATTCCATCTTTGGATTTAGATGGATTCAGACAAGCTAATTTAAACCCCTCTCAAAAAACATACCAAACAATCCCTTAATAAATAAATCAGGTATGAGTGAAGACAATCAAAAAATATATACGACACTATTCGTTCATATACCAGTTATACATGATCATAAATGACACAAATATAATATGACACAGATTCATTAAACACAAATTAATAAATGAATTGAATATAACTGAAATATTTTTTTGACACAAACCCACTAAAATCTAACATAAACCCACCTCACTCAACACAATTCATAGTCCTACCACTACCAGAGAATTAATCCAATTGATTAAGAGTCCTATTAATTACCCTTGATTTTCCTAACTAAAGAGGTAAAAAAAAAATAAGGATTCATATTTTGTATTTCTTTTGGGTCTTTTCCTCTTTTCATGGAAAGGGTGATTCAATTGTGCTTCATTGTAACATCAATTTGTTTATCTTTTATGATATAACAATTCATTCAGATTTCATTATAATACTTGTAGTAGCCATCAACCGTGTGTGTGTGTGCGTGCGCGCGCACGTGTGTATGTGTATATATAGGAATTGTGTCCACTACAATGATGATGCCCACAAGCTGAGCAAGTGACACGTGTGTGTGTGTCTATATATATATATATATATATATATATATATCCACACATAGAGGAATTGTGTCCACTACAATGATGATGCCCACAAGCTGAGCAAGTGACACATGTGTGTGTGTGTATATATATATAGATAGATAGGAATTGTGTCCACTACAATGATGATGCCCACAAGCCGAGCAAGGTCATTTGCTTTTTCCTAGTTGGGTGTTTACACCCACAAATATGTTCATTAACCTGCAAAGGGCAAGCAACAAGCTTTAAACAAAATCAATCTTTGCCATCATTATAAACATTCCTTCAGTATGAACCCAAACAAACCAACATTGTCCCCCTTTCTCTCCTGCACTTAAATTCCACTTTAGCTAACACAATCATTCATCAATTAATAAACAAATGAGGATTCAGATTCTCTACTCTGTGATCATTGAGTCATCTAATTAACAATTCATGAACAAGATCCTCTACTAGACAACCCATCTTTAATCATAGCTTTAGCCACTGCCATCCCAATAGAACCTTCTACTTTTTCTCGGGCTCGTTGGATTCAGATCTACTCCAATATTAGATTCTTCCAACGTTTCTCAATATAAGATCACCAAATCGCGTCTTCAAATGAAATCCACGATTCAAAAGGGGTTCTCATTAATACAACACAGGTGATATGATATTTGATGAGATCAAAAGAATCTAGCATTGGAGTGGATCATAATCTTTACTTACCTCATATCAACACATTAGCAATCATTTCTTTTTAGTGATCAATTTCAAGATACCTATATTTACCATCAATCGGTTGTTTTGAAACGATGGGGGATGATTGTGGGCCAGGGATTGACAGACATCGATTTTTGATTGGCAGTGCGGGCAATACCAACACCGGTTGTAGCGAGTTCTGAAGAGCCGACAGCAGAGGATGATGAGGAGGAGACGGCCACACGCTCACATTGAGGGCACATGGTGAGGGTGGTGGGAGGGTTCATGTTCATATAAAACTGTGGAGAAAGTTTCAATGCTCTAAGCTCATTTACCTCCTTTTGCAACCGCCTGTTCTCCTCCGTTAGATTCTCACAGCAGCTCTTTAAGTAGTCGCAGTCCAGCTCCGTCTGCTTCAACTTTGTCCTGCATTAAGTGAATATTTCTGTCAAGAATATAGACATAACATTTGAAACATCAACAATAGATAACCCACTCTGTTTGAGTCATTGGTCAACCAAAGAACGAGGTTTAAACCTGCATGGTCTGAGTTTAAGTTCTTTTGATCAGATAAAAATCAGGTTTAATTCACTCTTATACAATTTTGCTATGGGTTTAACATCAGCATTAGAAGGAAAAAAAGTGTTTTGAAAGCTATGATCATGTTGGTTATAAATTGGTTGATCGACATTACTCAATATGTTGTCATGTCGGTGTAATGTAATGGTCACATGAGATAATTTTGTTATGAATTGAACACCGGTAAGCACTAAATGAAAAAAGAATACTTTACAAGCCTTAATTAACTCGGTTACAATATTACTAACCGCATTTACACTGTATGTTTGTCGTATAGGTGTAATGATCAGAAAAAGAACGTTTCGTAAACCATAATTTAGTTACAATTTCACTGATCATTATTGCACCATATGTTGTCATGATGCAGATGTAACAGTCACATGAATTGATCTAGCTATGAATTAAGCATCTGCACTAAATGAAAATGTCGTATATGTGTAACGATCACATCCACATTAAAAGAGAAAAAGAACGTTTGAGAACCATAATTAAGTTAGTAATAATATCACTAACTACTATTTATACAGTATATTGTCACGTAGATGTAACAAACACACGAAATATTGTAGCTATGAATGTTGAGCATCTGCACTAAATGAAAATGTTGTATATGTGTAACGATCACATCCACATTAAAAGAGAAAAAGATCGTTTTGAGAACCATAATGAAGTTAGTAACAATATCACGGACTATTATTATATAGTATATTGTCACGTAGATGTAACAAACACACCAAGTATTACAGCTATGAATTTTGAGCATCTGCACTAAATGAAAATGTCATATATGTGTAATATTCACATCCACATTGAAAGAGAAAAAGAACGTTTTGAGAACCATAATTAAGTTAGTATCAATATCACTGATTACTATTATATAGTATATTGTCACTTATATGTAACAAACACAAGAAATATTGTAGCTATGAATTTTGAGCATCTGCACTAAATTAAATTGTCGTATATGTGCATGATCACATCCACATTAAAAAAGGAAGAAGAAGAAGAAAAAGAACGTTTTGAAAATCATAATTAAGTAGTTACGACATTAATGATTACTATTACATGTATGTTGTAGATGTAACAGTCACATGAAAAAAAAAAATGTTGTTTTGAATTGAAGACATCACACTAAATAAAAACGGAAAGCATTGAAAACCATAATTAAATTAGTCAAATGAAAACTAATTCAAGGGAAAGTAAAATGAATATCTTCGAATAAAAATGTTATGATTTCGGCCTAAATCAACACTATCTAGAATTCATTCACACAAATATTCTGGAATCCACATGGAATTCGAACTCGGAAATCAATCGAGGATAGAGTCAAATTCTGACTGCACAATTCTCATAATCAAAACAAAAGCAGATACATATAAAATATTGTTAATAGATGGTATAATTTAAATTTATATTACCAATAATGCCCTTAAATTATTTATCAAATAACTCACCTTGCCCTTCTGTTCTGAAACCACACTTCAACTTGCCTAGGCCTCAGATTCAGCTGTTTCGCCAGAGCCACCTTTTGCTTCTAAAAATACCCCCCAAAAAAAATGTATATCAAAATCACCATCCATTAACAAGATTATTGATTTTTTTTTGGCACAATACTGTACTAAAATACCAATTGGAAAATAATATTATCAATTCACACAAATAATAAATCATTCGAATTGGTATAAAATATGAACAACCCGTTTAATTAATATATCTCAAAGAAAATATGATTAAATTTGATTGGGAGAAAATAGGGCTCTAATTCTTTTTTTTTTTCGCCGTTAAAAGAAGTTTGATGGGGCAATCGGAATGAAACTCATCTGGACGTGACCATAACAGCCCGAACCCATGAGAGAGGTCTATCAATGGGGCTTAGACGGTAACAAACCGAAGGCTCTCCCAAAGGCTGACTCGATCCATAATCTAACTCTCAGTACTATAGAGTTTCCATTTTTTTTTTTCTACTTACGTTTCTATTAATAGTATTATTTAAGTCTAATTTTATTTTAATTTATTTATTATTTATATTAATTGATTATTTTGGGTTGCGTGTCGAGCGGTGTCTGTGCTAACGTTTAAAATTGACACCTACACGACAAGACTCAATTCACACACCAGAAGTAAACCACCCTTATTTGGCCATGAAATTTACCAAAAATGCCACTTACCGGATTGAGTGAGCTGTGTTCCTTGAATGTCTCTTCAAGAACTGCCGCCTGTTCCTTCGTCAACCTCATCTTCTTCCTCGTCTCTTCGCCGCCTTCATCATCCGGCGTAGTCGAAGCCCTCTCGCCTTCGTTCTCTTCTCGCTCGCTTCTCTTTCCGCTTATGCTCGATACTGTGCTGTTCGGAGACGAAACTGCTGCCACTTCTTCGTCGCCGTCCGCCAGTATCGCCGGTTGATTCACATCGATTCCTCGAAGGAATGATCTCGTTTCAGCATTACGATCTACGATTCAGGTAAAAACAAAAACCTATTACTTCAAGATTCAATCTCTGTTATATGCTTCAATTGAGGTTGAAATCGGAGAAAACACAGAAGAACTTACAAGAAAAAGATCGAATTAAATAAATAAAAATTAAATGCAGAAAATAACACAGAAGAACTTGCAAGAAAGAGATCGCAATGGATAAAATTATTGAAAAACAGAAAATGTATGAACCAAAAAAGAAGAAGAAATTGTAGAAAACACACAAGAACTGACCAGAAATCGATCGAAATGGATAAAATTAATATATATATTTTTTTGAAAAACAGAAAATGTAAGTACGAAAAAGAAGAAGAAATTGTAGAAAACACATAAGAACTCACCAGAAATCGATCGAAAAGCGTCACTGAGAGGAGACTTGTGATGATGATGTTGATTGTTGTGGAAAGGTAAAGGTAATGAGTGCATGAGATTCGAAGGGAAAGGTGGAGGCAGATTCTGTGGAGGTTTCAAGCTCAAACTCAAACTCAAACCTATACTATCATCATCTTTCTCAGCCATTTTTCACCTCCTCTTTCTCTCCTGAGAAAAAAACTACTTGGGTCTTTCGGTGTTTTGAAAGTGAGAGAACAAGCAGGAGAGGGGACAGAAAGAAGAGAGCTGCATGGGCTTGAGGTGTTGCAGCCTTTTCTTTTGTGTTATTGCAGCACTGTTGAGACTGTGACAGGACCTCTATATATAACAAAACAGTTTGGCTTTTGTGGTGGGGCTCGGCCCCGGGGGAGAGAGAGAGAGTGACCAGTTACATGTTACTTAGATAGATCAATATTAATTCATATAAACATAACTTAGACATAATACAAACTTGAACATATATACGATTATAAATTTATTAGATTGAGAAAATTGGATATACGTAGAATTACACTTAATTTTTTTTTATAGGGTATTCAGACTTGCGTCGATTACTCTCTTGAACTTAATTGCTAAATATTGTAGTTGGTGTATTTGCCCTATGTATTAGGAAAGATGGATTAAAAAAAATAATGATGGGTCTACCTTATCCATACTAATATTTGGATACACATTTTAGGCTCAGTATTGTCAAATCGAAATAATACTGGCCACGATGAATAGTATATTTAATATTACTCACAATTCTTTAAATAAACCCACTTTTTTTTTGTGGATTTAAATAATCCGGTTGTGATATATTTGGACAAAAGATATTTTTATTCTCAAGAATCTCTAAAATATAAATATCACTCTTTATCTCGAGGGTTTTTTTAGTAATTTAATATTTCATCCAAACAAAATATTAAATTAAATAAATGTGAGATCTACTATTTCTTTATACTTAAACCAAACATGATTTGAGGAGGCATTATCACTAAAATTAGTTCAATGACCAAATGGATGGGTATGAGATACAAGTTTGTCAAACATATTTTTTTTAAACAATTTTAAAAAATTATTCAAATAAATCAATTGAGTTGAACTAAGTCTAAGTACCTCTATTATATATATATATATATATATATATATATAAACGAATCAAACTTTATAGGTTTGTATTAAGTCTTAGTGACTATTTTTTTAAATGAGCCTAAAAAATTATTTAAATTTAACTATTTTAAAAAATAAATTAAACTTGAGTTGATTCATATATAAACCGAATTCAACCTAAACTTGATTAACTTGACTCGATTATTACGTATAATAGTTAAGAAGTGCTTTTACGCCGACCATAACAACGCAACCTTTTTTAACACAGTTAACCATGGTTGGGTTAACTACTTTAACCATGGTTAGTGGCTTTTGTAACTGTGATCTGTAGTAAATATTCAACGCATGGTTGAAGTAATGGTCTTTCTTTTTCCAACTTAATCTTATCAATGAAAAGCGGCTTTTTTCGCTCGTTGACCGTTGACTGCTGTGATTTTTCACTGACACACAAAACACAAGAAGAACCACGCGCACTTATGCCTTGGGGTTGAGACGGCAACACGTGTGGTCTGGCTACTAGTACTACTACCTTTTTCGTTCTATAATTGAAGATGTGGGTAATTCTAATATACCAAAAAAGTAATAAAAAAATTCGGTATACTTCGACCGCAAATTATATATTTTAAGAAACAGAGCGAAGTTACAATTTTTTGAAATCATTTCATCATCGATCATGAATATTCTTAATCGTTGATAACTTTAACTTGAGTAGTTTTAACTTTGACCACATTTCTAGTTATAATTTATATTCAAAAAATTATAAAGGTGAAAGGTTGGTTTGATTGAGAGAACGAGTAGTTAATTGACTCGTTTTAAGAGAGTTAGATTTCAAATAGTCAGATAAACATAATTTTAAAATTCGATCCAATCATCAATCCAAAAAAAATACTGAGTTAATGGGTCACTGATTTAACTATTGAGTCACTGATTGAACCGATAAGATAATAATAATAATAAATACGTTAAAAATCACAAAAAAAATATAAAAAATAGCATGCATATATTTTAGATCAAAAAAAAAAACTCCAAAATCACTAAATAGATAAGGGGGAATCAAGTACAATCAGAGAATCATTCTCTTTTTGTCTTATTTGATAGGCTTCATCAAGCGAAAGTTTTCAAATTGATTATTTATCCTTAAAAATAACTTTAATTGAAGTCAACTCCAGCCAAATAGGTAAAAGAGAGAACTTTGATCTCTTTCTGTCATCCCAAAGGAGGTTATCTTAGAAACCTGGGCTAGACAAAACAAAAATACTCCAAAAATTAGCTAAAGACAGAATATCTCTTCGTCAATTACAAAAACAAATTTTCATTACCTATTAAAGTGTCTGTCATTAATACATTGTGGGCGGCCTAACAAAGAAAAAAAATACATATATTAGAAATATTAGAGTTGATTTTACTCTTTTTTTCTCTATAGAAACATAGCATATGACGACCTCCTACATAAGAAATAAATACTTAACATCGACTAACCTATAATTGAAGAGTTACTTACTTGGAAAAAAAAAACTTATAATTGATTGATCAATATATTTTTAACCCCCGTGAATAATGAAGGTTAATAATGATTGTGTTGAATATTAGGTTACCATACTTTGGCTAGTCAAGGAGGAGCATCCTAAATGGTAAGGAATGCAATGTTTGTTCATAAATACTAGCTTAATTAACCTATGAATTTCCCCCATACTTGAAAAGTACAAGTCATTTTGTCACATTAAATTTTGCAAATTTTGTGTAGGATTATTATTCTATGGACATAAATGATGTTTCTAATATAAAATAGAAATAAATAGTTGGAATCGAATACAAGGTGAAGTTAGAAGAGAGATAAAATAAGACCTTGTCTCTCGTTTCTCGAGAAAATGAGAGTTAACCTTGAATTCAACATTCTCATTCAATTTTTTTTTTATCCATTAACGTAAGGTCTCTATCAGATCACCGTTATAACGTTGTTTATTTATATTTTACTACACATTTTAATGTTGTTTATATAAAATATATCGTTTAAACTTGCATTTTTCAAAAAAATTTAAAATTTTATATCAAAAATGTATTTTCCACACACGTCTCTCCATTGAAAATCAAATATTTGAAATTTTATGTTTTCATTCAAAGAAGAATAAATAATAAATAAACGAAAAATATTAGCTAAGTGAGAATAAAAATTAAAATGACAAAACAATAAAATTTATTTATTGGTAATAAATAAAGATGGTGGATTGGATCAATCCATATGGAATGATTGAACAGATTGGGAAAGAAGGGGGGGGGGACAGGGAAGAACGAAGGTCACGTGACGATTGGGCATCATATCACGTGCAAAAAAGCATGTCATGCTGGGCCACGTGGATGAGGTGGTCCCCACTTGACGTTCGTGCGTATCGCCTGTTCCTTTCCGACCCGACACGCACTTCTGTACAATCATTGGATACTTCTCCCTCCCCCTCTCTTTGAAAAGAGAGATTGTTAATTTCAAGTCGCACCTAGCAACTTACGCACACGCGCTACTCATTTGGCAACAACACGCAGGATTAATCTCTCTCTCTCTCTCGCAAGATCATCGAACAGACATTCAACAGTTGAAATCCCAAAAATGAGAATTTTTTTTATATCAATTAAAATCCCAACTATTTAGTTTACGTCTCCCTAGTGTTTCTAACCAATGTTATCAGAACCCCAATTATCGAATCAAACCGTTGAAATCCTAAATTAGAGATTTTTTTTTTATATGGTTCACATGTTTGGATCAAAATTGGCTGGTTTAATAGTTAACACGCGATTCACTTGCATATGCAGTCCAACTCAAAAATCAAACTGATCTAAACACTAATTAACAATCCAATCAGTTCAGTCCAATTCTGATAACACTACCTCTAACTTTAAAAATTTGTCACACAATTTATTGTCTTTCTTTTTTGGGTTTGGCAATTTATTTTCTCAAATGTATGAAAATTAGCAATAATATTCATGTTTGAAATCAAAATCAAAATCAAGAGAGACAGAGAGATGTAGATTGATGAAATTATTTGACATTAAAGAATGTATTAATTGAGTTAAGCGATTTTTTTTTTGTACCGTTGGATCAACTTTTTTGAATTAATATTTTTTTAACTTCTGTGATTAAAGTTGCAGACCTGCCATATTATATAGATGCACAACATTTACCTTGGTGGCAGCCTGGCCACTTAAGTTGTTCAATGTAACAGAATAGTTAGGAATTCTCCAAAGGGTGAATGACATTTATTCCCTAAAATAATTTACAAGTGTTCCACTATACCCCTCAAACACTGAAACTTTTATACTGAGCCCTGAATTTGTTTAAGAATTGTAATATATCCCAACAGTAAAGCACGTCTCATTTTGCGTCTATTGACATCTCACTTGATCGAAACAATTGAAAATAATTGACAAAATTACTAATTTAATAATGTGACAATGACATAATCCAAACAATATTATGACTATAACTGTACTTTTACATGAAACTCTATCACCTGACACATCATGTCAACAAATTAAATTAATTTTTTAAGTTTTAGTTTACGAGAAAAAAAATACAATTAGTAAACAATTTTAGGAGACAAACGAAAAATCAAATAATTATTGAGACACGTTCCTATAATTTTCACAAATCAAAGGATCTATGAGAAACTTTTTCAATTAACCCCAAGGGACTCGGGTGTTAACCGGAACAAACTTTATATTTAAGTGTCTTGAGATTGAATCTGAAATTTATATCCCTTGTTAATACCCTAGTCTCAGTGTGGATAATATACTTTTGACCAAACCAAGAAAATAATTAATCAAAATACGCGTAAACACTCCTGCTCTTTGAACCAAAAAATAAAGACTTTTTCAATTTCAGAGGATAAAGTAGCTGGGGGGAGGATCAACAACATTTCAATAATTTTCATCCTAATGTAATCAACTTCCACGACACAATTAATTACTCCATAGCCATACTAATAACTATATTTGCCATAGGAATCAAAGGCAATCAGGCAAAGCTCTCTTCAGCTCATCTCTCGAAAGATTTATATATAAATAAAAAAAAAAAAAAACCCAAGGTTCCTATCTGTAACATGATCTACGAGAGAGAATTGGTAGACAATCTTGATCCCATTATAGAAAGGTTGATTCCCACACACATCATTTAGACAGATTAGCACTTGCTATCACTCTAAGTCTAACCCAAGTTTTCAAAAAAACAAAAAACCGTCTCTAGATGTAGCAGAATCTTGAAGAAAGAATTCTACTCCACCAATTTCAATTCAAAACCTTGCACCAACTCAATCTATACGAGATTGGATTAACAAAAGAAACATGCCTTCCTCATAAGAAAATCCAAATCCTATTACACTATGCATAAAAGCCAATCCTAGAATACACAAGACTATAGTAAAATATAACTTTCAGACAAAATCCGCAATAATTACCCTAGTGTGATGAAAATCAAAGGCCACATGAAAAATGCCCTTATCAATTATCATACATACATACCTATACTGGTGAAGCATGAAAAGACTGACCAAAATAAGGAGCAGGTTGATTTGCTGTGCTTGAAGTGTAGGTTGCATATACTGGAGGAAGCGTTGCAGCTGATGCATATGCTGGAGGAAGTGTCGTCACCATTCCAGCTTCATGACTACTGCAAAAAGGGGAGAAGTGTCTCTAGCAGGGACCAACGGTACAAAATGATTTTGAAACAATGTAAACATGTTTACTCCGAGGATTAATTATCAACCAATCAGCACTTTAAAGATGAATGTAAGATACAATTATGGACCTCCCCTGTCTATTAGATGATTACCGGTAAGTAAGTCAATAAACAATTATATATAGCATACAAATATACTATGGTTCTCTCCTTGTCACATTATGTGACAAAGCCGGGTTGTTGAAGAAGGTCTGCTTTTATTTGTTAGTGTCACTTAAAAAGTCGGTTAAGACAAATCATGAAAGAATCGAGCATCTAGGTCCATATTTAGGCCATGCAACAGTTATGCCTTTCTTGTTGCATTATTTCCAAGAATACATGGAGGCAGGCCCATACATACCTCCAATATGTGGGAATGATGTCAATACACAATTGGCTATAGACACTAAGCCTTCCCCGTAGGCTTGATTTGGTTCCATCCTACATCTTATCACTCAGAATCGCATTCTATCAAACTAGTGGTACTTATTGTTGAATTAAAAGATTGGATCAGTCTTTCTATACCAATCTGCCAGCCCTGTTTGCGGTATGCTCAATGAATCCTAGAGACTTTTCGTCAGTATCAAAATCTAGTAGTCTTTTGTCTCGGGAAAAAGTATATATTTTATCAAATTTTGGCTAGCTAGACAATTTCAAATGTACCCCACAAAGAACGAACTTTTAAAGAGATGCACCGACATCGTGCAACTAGAAACTTCATAGACACTCCTCGACACACCCTAAAAGCAGCTTAGGCATCTCCACAGTTCAAACCATGATTACCACAATTCACTAAACCTTTAAAGACCCACGATTTAGATACATCGATCCGAAACGCGATGGGTTCGCGATTCAGATTACCAAAATTAACGACCACAAATTGCAATACTAATCCTAAATCAATTCGCATTAGAACATTCAGCACAAATATAAAATACATATTAATCGACAACATATATATAGATTTATATTTATATATTGTTTTACATAATAGAAAATCAAGCACAATTATAAGATAAATGGTAACTAACTTAGTGTTTATGAATGTTTTGTAATATATAATGTTGTATAGTAGTGAAAACAATCTACATAAGAGTTTCAAAATGAATTGCGACCCAAAACACCGTATCAGCTAAATCTGCCCCCATCGTACCATGTACCCGTACCTGTACTACGTACCAAAGCGACTCACGATCCAAGTAACATTGGCTCAAACCCAAGAGTCGGTTTCAAAAATGGTAATACGGCTAAGTCGAACGACTCCAACATGAAACCAACTACCTAAAACTAGACCAGATCCATTTGTATTTTAAATCGGACAGTGTAAAGTAGGACTGCTCTGAGATTCCGTGTTTTCATATTTGGCCAACTATCTGTACAATCAGATCATATAACGCCAACAGAACAATGATCAGCATATCTCAGTGGGTACCGTGGCCAAGTGGTAAGGTTAGGCAACCAAAAGAATGTACTGCAGTGTTTGAATCTCTCCATATGCCACTTGAAAAATGAAGTGCGCATGTACAGAATCTTCTTGAGAAAGAAAAATGGACCCACCCCAACAAAAAATAAACCAATAAGTATAAAGATGAGAAACAACCGAATAAAAGATATAGGAAGAACGATCAGAAAACTACCATCGACAGTATAATACAATACTATAGAAGTATAATTTATTTTCCCTAATCATGATGCTTATAAATGATAAACAAGAAACCATACATTAAAATAAGCCTTCAAAACACCGAGAATAAAGAGAAGAACAAACCCAAAGAAGAGATACAATACTGCAAGCAATAAGACATGTACCTAAAGAACAATATTCTAGTTTTATTCAGAATAAAGAGAGAAATACTGGTCTAATTTGCCATCACTATGTGCCCCCTGATACAGCATAGTAGGAGGGGTTTTGATGGGGTCCAATTTTTACCCATAATTGGGGCAGAATAAAGAACGAATTCTATACGAATTTGAATTTTACTATACTTGGGGGAACTTTGAATGTACCCATTTTATGTCTAGAGACAACTCCATTTCTATAGCTTCCCAAACAGCCTCTACGACATTCCTTCCACAAGCCTCAGATGAGACAAGTCTTTAATGTTTGGATACAGCAAAAGGATCCTTATGAACATTGTAAAGGTGTATAACATGTAAAGTAAACAAACACACAAAGACACAAACACTCAAATTGACCAGCAAATGTCCTACTTTTGGAAAATTTTATCATGTGAACGTGTTTGTATAGAGTCCATGACCATGATTGTATCCTTGCAACATAACATTTGGCACCTCATCTTCGTGTCATATCGCTCATGATTTGTCCTTGTTACCTTGAGTGTGCGAATGACGTATTCAACCAACAATGTACACGCTTAAGAGTCCTATTATTTCCTAAGCAAACATTTTTACACTTCCAGGTAGACAAATCGGCAAGAAAACAATGGCCATAGACAAACGTGAATATACACCCAGGCGCACACACACACACACACATATATATCTCAAAGGAATGAAATTTACACTGACAGTTGACCACCAGCTTTTTGTATCAATTGAGAATATACATATTCATCAACTCTCTGCTTTGCCAGTGCTACCTATTAAGCATCAAGAAATATTACAGTGAGATCTTTCAGAATAAAAAATTGAAAGAAAAGTGCAAAATTTGATCAATGTTTCAGTTTTCTATTGTAATAGTCAATGTAGTACATAGTAACAAAAGAAAATTATTTCAAAATTAACACATGAAAACGAAAAAATCACGTCTCTCGATTAGTTTCCAACTTTTACAAACAATTACAATCACATATTCTTATGCTATGCAGGCAAACTCATAACCTTATAGAATGGCAAAATAGCCCGAATATTTCAAGCAACAGATACAACGATACAACAAAATCTAAAAAAATAGGATACTGATACAGCCAACATACATCTATAATAAAACATATTTTATATTTTTAGTATTATCCACCGACTTAATATTATTATGTATTTTGGTAATTCTGCAACAAAAATAAGTAAAATTAGCAATTATTTTAACTTTCAACAAAGTGAATATTGTCTTACTATGATATATTTAGAAAGTGAAGTTGACTAATTAAAGGAATCAAAATCAAAATTAATTTAGTTGTTTTGCTTAGAAGCATTTGTTGCTAAGATTGTAATGCTCTTGTGGCGTCCGATAGTAGATAATATTTATTAAAAAAAGCACATCTGTCTTTAAAGTTGAATGAATTTTTGTTGATGTGTTGCCAAGTTTGTGAATTCGAAGGGAGATGATAAAGATTAAATTAAAAATTATACATATTGCTCTGATACAAAAATATCCACATGTTTTATTATTATCGGATATGTAAAAGATACATCATACATCCAATACATATCTTTGAGTATCGAGTACCTTATCCAAGATGGATACACCTTAGCAAAGTATTCATGTTTCATATATTTTAGGTCTTTCCTGAATTATTCTAGAATTTTTCATCTAGTTCATTTTTTGGAATCTTTTTGCATTTTGGCCTGCCAGGGCCTGGGAAGACCTGTCCATTGGCTTAAATATTCCCACATCTACAATTCAACATGATATCCCAACCCACCTCCTCTCCCCTACTCTTGTCTTCCTCTCTTAAGAGAGAGAAAGAGAGAAGTTTGAAAAATTGGGTCAAAGCTTTCAATAAGCTCATCTGACGGTCTCAAATTGACTAATCCAACAAACACCAACATCCCTCTCAAAACCATTCACATTAGACCATGCCTTTACGCACGGATTATCCCTAGTACATAACAAAATAAAAAGGCCAAGTTGAACACCAAACAACTTAATATTGGTATAATAGAATAAACGTAGCATAAAAGTGTTCAGATTAAAAATAAAAGGTTGTGGGTTTGAAGTTGAGGGCAGTTAATAACAGAATATAGATTTATACCAATTTTCACACCTCTCAACACCTTAATTAAGGGGACAAAATAACACAAAAACCACTGCTCTCTATAAAAGTAGGGGGCAAGCTTTTAAAAAGCCAAATTGCTTGTCCAGCCAAGTAAGTATGTTTTAACCAAAACTAAATCAGAGTAATCAGAAATCAGATATAATAAATTAATAGTAGAAGAGGATTCACCTGTTGAGCACTACCACCCAAATGGATTTGCCTGTGTGTTTGTTCACCTTTCCCACCATAAACCTGCAAAACAACAAGCATATAGTTAATAACTTAAAAACACTAATTCCTATGCAAATTTTCAAACCATTATTAAGTCTAGAGACCCATGGGGAAATGAGAAACGCAGAACTACATGATTTTCATCAAAACTCACTGAAACCCAGATAAGGTCGTCTAGAACCTTTAACCTATGCCAAGAAACTTAACGAGAAAAATTAAGGATTAAAAAAGAAAATAAAACCACAACATCATAGCTCCAGTTTTCATTTAAGTAGATATTGTAAGCATGGATTTTCGGGGCAAAGATGCCTTCTTCAATTTTTCCAAAATTACAAAATACTCCAATAAACAGAAATTTGTGGTTTATAATGTCATAGTAAAATCCAATTAATTCCTTTAACTTAGGAAACTACATCTAAAGGCATGGTTATCAAATCCAGATTCGGCGTTCAGGGATATGAAAATTGGTCCATGACTCGTGAACAATATTTGGTTCACATAATCTTACTAGATTGAGATCCAAAATGTGTAAGATAGTAAAATCCCCATCCCAATTGCAATTTTACCCATAAGCTGGGTTTATTGATTAGGCGCCTTTAGTTATTAAGCTAGCCCAGCCCATTATTATTTTTATCATAATTAAAGATCCAGCCCATATGTGATTGTCACACATGCTTGTCAGCCTGTTAGGGTATTTCAACTGGTGAAAAAAGCTACAGACAGCTATCTTCACCCATTTGTTTCTCTTGTTGAAAAGTTCAAAACAATGGTTGAGTTTGTCCTCTTCTCTCTCAGGGAGAGATCATCACCAAGTATTTATTCCATTTCATTCTCCTCTGCTTTTTTTTTTAAAATTTATTTTTAGATGTTAACCAATAGAAGTTGTTTATTCAACAGCCCAACTTTTCGGTCTCTCCTCTATCTCCATATCTCTTAAACTTATGATCAAAACAGTCCAATTTTATTTTCTTATCAACTCATCTTTGATTTTCTACCCCTTTCACTACCCAAACTGTAGTTTCTCAAGTTTCAATTGTATTCCTAACTTCTGTGTGTTTGTCATAATATTTATATTTTTTTGTATCTATACTAACATGTTTTATTTTTTCTAAGAATTCTCTATTGTAACATGTTTATAGTCCCATTTCTTTTTCCTAGCAATGCACTACATGCGTTGCATGTGAATAATTTTCGTACACAAAAATTATTAAAACATATTAGGTATACATGTATCTAAATTAAATATCATCTCAAATTTACCAAAATTAATTTTACATTGCTCATTCCATTATACGATTATGAAAATTTTGTATGTTTCCAAAATTCTTTGTTCTAACTATAAGAAAAAAAGATAAAAATAGTTAAAGTTCTATTTTTTTTTATAATTTTGTGATTGAGAATATTTTTTAATGATATTTGAGGAATTAAATTTTTTAAAATTCATTTGATCAGAATTTCCACTTATAATTCCTTGAATAAAATAAAAATAATTGTCAATATACTGATCACATTGGAACCTTCCTGTAATTAGAAATTAGTTAGATCAATTGAGATAAGATTTAATATGCTACTCTATAATATATATTATCAATCAAATTAAAATTCTAAAAAATTCAAATTTTACTTAAAAATACACTACAATATTTATTTTTATATCTAATCTTAGTACAACCTAGAAAGTTTATTGTGAATGAAGAATTACACTGATGTAACATAAATTGATTTTAAAAAACTATATATACAATTTTTTTTATCTTAGAAATGATAAGATTAAACTTTTTGATTAAAAAAAAAATACAAATATATTAGCATAATGTTATCTTTTACATATAAAGTGAGTAATATTAGGTTAATGGAGTTTTTAAATTTTTTTGATAACTTTATTGAAAATATAATGATACATATTTTTTAAGGATAATATACTCAATCAATTTTTTTTATAAAAACTGATATTTATATATAGAGAATAGATAATTAAAATAGATACTTTTTTAATTTAGAGATTTAAAGATATAAGGATATGATTATAATTTAAATATTTAATTGTGAGATGATAGAATGGTCTTTGCAACCTTTTATAAGGATAAAATAGAGATTCAAAAAATTTTCATCTTTAAGGTGCTATTATTAAAAGTATAGATAGAAATAGATAAGAAGCATCAATTGTATTAATAATTGAAATAAAAATAGTGGTACAAGAACCAATCAAAAGTTAACAAGTCATCCATCCAAATGATCAATAAAAGAAAAAGGAAAAAAACAAGAGACCCAACAATGGACCACATTACAAGCCACATGAAGCAATCCAATTCGTTGTGATACCAAAAAGAGGACTATTATCAAAATCCTTTGTCATGGATGCCCAAAAAGAAGCCAAAAAGTAAAGTTGGTCCCATAAGCCCTTAACTTTCTACCATTTATTTTCAGTTTGTAGGATTTTACAATTTCGGATCATTCCCAATCCATTAGCCTCCCGTATCAATCTTGATGTCACGCCCTCAACCCGATAACCTCGAGCTTGTGCGCAAACTCAATTACCATTCATAGCCTTTGATACAGAGTATTAAAACCTCAAAATAATCTTTCAACAATAAAAACAATCACAAATGTTACAATTACCAACAATTGAAACTATTGCATAAAACAAATAGCGAATATTCTTTAATTCCTTAATTGATCTAATTGTCTATTGTCTTTCACTCTCTACCAAACCTACATCAGATGGGAGTAAATGGGGTGAGTTTGGGGTCAAGGCCAAACGATAGTCAAACACCAACCACAGAAGCAAGAATTATAACAAACATTTATCGCAAATACTTGTCGTAAATCATATGAAACCCAATTCTCCAATCTTTCAAATCCCTCGTGGCTTCAAAGTTAGTTCATCTCGATTACACACTAGGCATCACTCGGTACATTTTATTCTAACACACGGCCACAATAAAATCTCATAACCATAACCATGCCACTAAGTGTGCCTGAGGCATGTCCCAATAGGTCCCAAAGCAATTCACCACTAAAAAGTAATTTTCTAATATAAAACATTCACCGAAACATCTACGGAATTTCGAAACAAGAATTCATATAACAATTAGCATACGATACGAAAGGTTTCAGTAAAATATCTCATTTGCAAAGAGATTGAAATAAGGACATGAATGGAAATGGTAGATATGAAGACTAGATATCATGGACAATCTTCTCAAATTGCATCCAAATCCGACATGGTCTTACCTTTTGATCTTTAGATCAAACACATCTCTACAAATTTCTTTTCTTTCTATTCCCACCTAAATTTTCTTCCTCTATCTTGTCGCATACCCATTGTTTAATACTTGCTACCGAGTTTCTCCTCTCTCTCTCTCATGGTTCTCAAAACTATAACCAACACAAGTAAATCACAATATCAAGAGAAACCCTCGCTATTGTAACAGTTCATAAATAGTTTATATTTAAATACCTAAGCTTAACTGCATAGAAACTCGTGCTACACTCGAGGCTTATAATCCGCAGTATATACCTAATTAAAGAGTGTGATCCTATTCTCTCTTCACGTGATATCCCACTATTATTCGTATTATCAAACCCCCTCACTTTTCTCTTTCTTAAGCCATCACACCCATGATTTTTGCTCCATGAATGATCAGTTATATTACTTTTAGAATACCTGAGAAATTTTGTAGGAGCAATGTTATAGGGACCTTATTTTGGGACCTAATTTGGGAACCTAAAGATGTGACTTCAATGCAACAATTGGATTAATTGTGAGTTATAATGTTAAATGGAACCCACAACCAATCCAATAGTTGTACATCATTAGATCCCTAAATTAGATCCTCAAATTAGGCCCAAATAGCATTTTCCATTTTTGAGAGGTCATCTAATCATAACCATATCCTTTTCCTAAAAACTCTCAAACCCTAATTTCTTCACATGTTTTTATCTTAATTTTTGGTATGGGTCATGACAGATTTGTTAGCTGCAATGTTACATTCCGAAAGCCATGGCATCAGCGTAGACATTGTAATACTATCCAAACACATTTTCAAGTTGTGGTGATGTAGATTGGAAGAAGAAATTAGGATGAGAAAATAAGAAAGAAATTGGAAAGGAAAAGATTGCAATTTTACTCCATAATCCAAATCTGATACAATTTGCACATCCATCTTTTTTTATAATGACAACCAAACAACTAGACTAAGAGTCCTATTATGAAACTATTATTCATAACATCTACCAACTAATAAATTTCAAGATAATGCCCAAAGATAAATTATCTTAAATCTTCATTTACGTCTCCTGTAACCGAAGATAATTGGATTCCCATCATTTCTATCTGACTGAGAAAAACTCACCACTGAAGAGGTACGATAGAGGTATTCCTCTAACAAATCAGGTTTGAGACGGCAGATCTCCCTCACTATAAGTAGGTCAGTCAAAATTCGACACCACACGATTAACCAACAAGAATCGACACGAATTAAGCGGGTTTGAGTGAGACCTTAACGGGTTTGAATGATAAACGGGTTAACCCGTTAAACACGTTTAATAAACGGTTCGTGTTTGGGTAAGACATGTCAACCCGTTTATCACTCATTTATCCGTTTCAATAAATTTAATATAATAATAAATTAATAATTATTTTATATACATATAAAATAATGAATGAGTAAAAAACAATACAGTAAAAAAATCATTTACAAAAAAAAAGTAAAGAAATCAGTTTGAGGCATTGAATTGCCTTTTCTTTGAATCCCACATCGCCAGAAAGAGTGGAGAGATGGAGCTTTGGTTGTCTATAAAAAGGGTAGTGGGCCTCTTGCTTTTCGACTGACCGGCTATAGTTTATGACTGTTGGCTATGGTTGTTGGCTGTTGGCTTTTGATGGAACTCTTCAAATTGAAAAAAGTACACTTTGAAGCAAAAAAAAATTGAGTGTAAAAATTTGTTAAAATAATATTTTTATTTTTTTATTTTTAAATGGGTTAAACGAATCGTGTCGTGTTACTCGTTTATTAAACGGTTCGTGTTCGTATTAAAATTTTTTACCCATTTATTAAACATGTCGTGTATGAGTTTGTATGTTTTTCACCCGTCA